AATCGAGGAGTGATACCACAGAATACAAAAAAAAAATTAAAATCCCTAAAATAAAGGATATATTTTTTGTTAAATCTAGGAGTGATACCACAAAATACAGGAAAAAAAACATTAAAATCCAGGGGTGACACCGCAAAATGAGTGAAAAAAACGAGAAGTGACCCCATAAATTACAGGAAAAAAAAATCGAGGAGTGATACCAAAAAATAATTTTTAAAAAATATATTTTTAAAAATAAAAGAGTGACACCACAAAATACAGAAAAGTAAAAAATAAATAAAATCGAGGAGTGACACCATAAAACTACAGATCATTATTTTTTTAAATCTACAAGTGATACCACAAAATACAGGAAAAAAAAATTAAAATCCAGGGGTAATACCACAAAATATAGAAAAAAATTTAAATTGCTAAAATAAAGGATATATTTTTTTTTTAAATCGAGAAGTGACACCACAAAATACAGGAAAAAAAAAATCGAGGAGTGACACCATAAAATACAGGAAAAAAAATAAAAATAAAAATCAATGAGGGACATCACAAAATTACAGTTTTTTTTTTTTTTAATCCAGGAGTAATACCACAAAATTCGAGAAAAAAAAATAAAATCGAGGAGTGATACCACAGAATACAAAAAAAAAATTAAAATCCCTAAAATAAAGGATATATTTTTTGTTAAATCTAGGAGTGATACCACAAAATACAGGAAAAAAAACATTAAAATCCAGGGGTGACACCGCAAAATGAGTGAAAAAAACGAGAAGTGACCCCCATAAATTACAGGAAAAAAAAATCGAGGAGTGATATCACAAAATAATTTTTAAAAAATATATTTTTAAAAATAAAAGAGTGACACCACAAAATACAGAAAAGTAAAAAATAAATAAAATCGAGGAGTGACACCATAAAACTACAGATCATTATTTTTTTAAATCTACAAGTGATACCACAAAATACAGGAAAAAAAAATTAAAATCCAGGGGTAATACCACAAAATATAGAAAAAAATTTAAATTGCTAAAATAAAGGATATATTTTTTTTTAAATCAAGAAGTAACACCACAAAATACAGGAAAAAAAAATCGAGGAGTGACACCATAAAATACAGGAAAAAAAATAAAAATAAAAATCAATGAGGAACATCACAAAATTACAGTTTTTTTTTTTAATCCAGGAGTAATACCACAAAATTCGAGAAAAAAAAAATAAAATCGAGGAGTGATACCACAGAATACAAAAAAAAAATTAAAATCCCTAAAATAAAGGATATATTTTTTGTTAAATCTAGGAGTGATACCACAAAATACAGGAAAAAAAACATTAAAATCCAGGGGTGACACCGCAAAATGAGTGAAAAAAACGAGAAGTGACCCCATAAATTACAGAAAAAAAATACAGGAAAGAAAAAAAAAATCGAGGAGTGACACCATAAAATACAGGAAAAAAAATAAAAATAAAAATCAATGAGGGACATCACAAAATTACAGTTTTTTTTTTTTTTAATCCAGGAGTAATACCACAAAATTCGAGAAAAAAAAATAAAATCGAGGAGTGATACCACAGAATACAAAAAAAAAATTAAAATCCCTAAAATAAAGGATATATTTTTTGTTAAATCTAGGAGTGATACCACAAAATACAGGAAAAAAAACATTAAAATCCAGGGGTGACATCGCAAAATGAGTGAAAAAAACGAGAAGCGACCCCCATAAATTACATGAAAAAAAAATCGAGGAGTGATATCACAAAATAATTTTAAAAAAATATATTTTTAAAAATAAAAGAGTGACACCACAAAATACAGAAAAGTAAAAAATAAATAAAATCGAGGAGTGACACCATAAAACTACAAATCATTATTTTTTTAAATCTACAAGTGATACCACAAAATACAGGAAAAAAAAAATCGAGGAGTGACACCATAAAATACAGGAAAAAAAATAAAAATAAAAATCAATGAGGAACATCACAAAATTACAGTTTTTTTTTAATCCAGGAGTAATACCACAAAATTCGAGAAAAAAAAAATAAAATCGAGGAGTGATACCACAGAATACAAAAAAAAAATTAAAATCCCTAAAATAAAGGATATATTTTTTGTTAAATCTAGGAGTGATACCACAAAATACAGGAAAAAAAACATTAAAATCCAGGGGTGACACCGCAAAATGAGTGAAAAAAACGAGAAGTGACCCCATAAATTACAGAAAAAAAATACAGGAAAGAAAAAAAAAATCGAGGAGTGACACCATAAAATACAGGAAAAAAAATAAAAATAAAAATCAATGAGGGACATCACAAAATTACAGTTTTTTTTTTTTTAATCCAGGAGTAATACCACAAAATTCGAGAAAAAAAAATAAAATCGAGGAGTGATACCACAGAATACAAAAAAAAAATTAAAATCCCTAAAATAAAGGATATATTTTTTGTTAAATCTAGGAGTGATACCACAAAATACAGGAAAAAAAACATTAAAATCCCGGGGTGACATCGCAAAATGAGTGAAAAAAACGAGAAGCGACCCCCATAAATTACAGGAAAAAAAAATCGAGGAGTGATATCACAAAATAATTTTAAAAAAATATATTTTTAAAAATAAAAGAGTGACACCACAAAATACAGAAAAGTAAAAAATAAATAAAATCGAGGAGTGACACCATAAAACTACAAATCATTATTTTTTTAAATCTACAAGTGATACCACAAAATACAGGAAAAAAAAAATCGAGGAGTGACACCATAAAATACAGGAAAAAAAATAAAAATAAAAATCAATGAGGGACATCACAAAATTACAGTTTTTTTTTTAATCTAGGAGTAATACCACAAAATTCGAGAAAAAAAAATAAAATCGAAGAGTGATACCACAGAATACAAAAAAAAAATTGAAATCGCTAAAATAAAGGATATATTTTTTTTTTTAAATCGAGGAGTGACACCACAAAATACAGGAAAGAAAAAAATAATCGAGGAGTGACACCATAAAATACAGGAAAGAAAAAACAATAAAAATCAATGAACGACACCACAAAACTACAATTTCTTTTGTTAAATCTAGGAGTGATACCACAAAATACAGGAAAAAAAATTAAAATCGAGGAGTGATACCAAAAAATACAGAATTTTTTTCAATTGAAATCGTGATGTCTCCCATCACAAAATAAAAAAATAAAAAATTAAATCGAGAAATGACGGCGCAAAATAAAGGGATTTTTTTTTTTATCAAGGAGTGACACTACAAAATAAAGAAAAAACAAAACTCGTTGGAAAAAAAAATCCATCAAATTTCATTGAATTTTGAGAAGTTTCCGAAGTTTTTAATTTTTTGTTTTTTGTATTTTATTTTTTTTTTTATTGTACATACATACTTTTTTAGTTTTTTTTTTTATTACATTTTCTTTTGTCACTTCAAAAATCACAAGTGGAAAAAAAGGTAAAAAAACAAGTGTAAGAAAAAGTCGAAAAAACAAGTACCTAAATAAATAAAATAAATAATAATCAATCAAAAAATCAATTAGAATTTTTTTTATTTTATTTACACTTTTTTGTTTGATTTTTTTTTTAGTTTTGTTGTTTATCTTAATTTTTTTTTCTCTTTTTTATTTTTTTTAATTTTTTTTTTCTCTTTTTTATTTTTTTTCAATTTTTTTTTTTTTAAATTTAATTTTTTTTTTGTTGCTACAAAAAAAAATTGAAAAAAATTGGAAAAAACAATTAAAAAAAAAAATACAAAAACATTATTTTTGAAAAAAAGGAAAAAGTTCAAGTGGAAAAAGAACTAAAAAAATTTAACTGTCAAAAAAAAATTGTATTATGTCCAGTATTAAATCTTAAAAATTAAAGGTAATAATAAAAATTTCTTACCTTTTTTTCTTCTTCCTGGAAGTTGACACAAAAAGCCCTTTTTTGCATCCTGATTCTGGAATAAATAAAACTGAGGTTAGAAAAAACAGAAAACTTATTTTTGACAGTTATTGTAGTGACTTTTTCAAGGTTCAGTTCAAAATGAAACCAATCAGTCACAGTAAGTTCAGACTGGGGCGGTAATAACTTGTCATCATGATTATTTTTTTATTTATTTATTAATTTATTTTTTTTCTTTCGATTTTCCCTCAATAAACCAAATATATGTAAATAATTGTATAAATAATTGTAAACTTACCACAAAAAAAAAGAGTTTCTCCAACGAAAGTCCTGAATTGGGGGGAAAAAAAACAATTTTAGTAAAAATAAAATTAGAAAATAAAAAATTTCAATAATATAAATAAAAATTCAGACTATTGAGCTTTAGATAAAATATCACAGTTTCTTTCAAATATTGAAGAAGATTGTTTATCATCATGAAATTATATTTTTATTTTATTTTTCAAATAAATAAATAAATGTAAACTTACCACAAAAAAAAAAAAAAAAAATCTCGGTCCTGAAACGAATAAAAAAAAGGGTTTGATAAAATAAAAATAAAAAAATAATTTTTTAATTTTTGAAAAAAAAAAAAAAAAATTCAGACTATTGAGCTTGAAATTAAATATCATAGTTTCTTTCATTGTTGAAGAATTGCTATCATCATGATTATTTTTTTTTTATTTATTTATTTTTTTTAATTAAAATTAACTTACCCATAATTCAATGAAAAAATTTGTTAATTTTTCCCGAAATTCCACACACAGAGGGCTGAAATATAAAGGAAAAAAAATTAAAATAAATAATTTTTAATTTTTTTTTTTAAGAAAATAAAAATTGAAATTTTTCAGGCCTATTGAGCTTTATACATCCATCATGTTGCTTTCTAGTGTAAAAAGTTTGTCATCATTTTATAATAATTAAATTAAAATTAAATTAATTAAATTATTTTTGACTCACCTCATTAAATTTTTCTTCCAAAAATCCTCTAAATCATCAAAAGCCTGAAATCCCTAACTCAAAAAAATTGAAAAAAAAATAATTTTGAAAAAAATCCAATATTTATTTATTAGAAAAAAGAAAATTGAATGAAACAAAAACTTAATTTAATCAGTACTGTTGTTCTAGACAAAAAAAGACAAAATTCTTGTTTTAAATTATTTACTTTGTAATTTATTGATTAAATTACATTGATTATTATAAACTAATTATTAATAAAAAAATATGTCCAACCAAAAAAAAATTAAATAAAATAAAAAATTATTTTGAAATTAAATTTAATCGGTTTTTTATTAATTGAAATAATTAAATAAGGTTTTTCTGTACAAAAAAAAAAAGAAAACTGGAAAGTCGTTTACAACTTGTCCAAGTAGGACTGGAGGTCGGGAAGACCTTCTTTAAGTCCTTTCCTTTTACGAGTTTCCTGAAAAAAAAAAAAACAAAAAATATTAATGAGAATTTCACATAAAATAACATCAAATTCGTGTTCCTTGACCCCAGAAACGTCAAAAACGACATATCACATCGATTTTTGTGTCTGTGTGGTAAAAGACACTGCACAAAGTTCTTTTGAATTTTTTGAACATTTTGACTCTTGTTTTATATTTTATACTTTACAGTTTATCAAGTTTTATTAAATTTTTTTGAATTTTTTAAAAAATGAGATTTTCTAAAAATATTTGAATTTTTCATGTTTTGAATTTTTTTGATTCCGTCAGTTTTCCAAAGGGGATTTAATTTCTCGAAAAATTTTGAAAAAAAAATCTGGATGTTTTTTTGAAGGAAAAATGGCAAATTTTCAAAAATAAAAAATTGTGGAATTTTTTTCCAAGAAAAATACAAAAATGGTGAAAAACCAAAAAAAAAATATATTCAACTGTCGTAAAAAAAAAAATTCACCTGTCAAACAAAATTGAACCAACGAGTTTCGATAAATTGAAAAAAAAAAAATTGAAAAATATTTTTGAGATTTTTTTAAAACATAAACTTGGAAAAAAAATATCCACCGAATTTCAAGTGTCAAACATAAAATTTGTCCAACGAGTTACAATAATTAATTTTAAAACGTTTTTTGGTATTTCTGGAATTATTTAAGGAACTCAATAAAAACTCGTTGGAAAAAAAAATCCATCAAATTTCATTAAATTTTGGAAATAATTGAACCAACGAGTTTCGATAAATTAAAAAAAAAATTGAAAAATATTTTTGAGATTTTTTAAAACATTATAAACTTGTTGGAAAAAAAAATATCCACCGAATTTCATTAAATTTTGGAAATAATTGAACCAACGAGTTTCGATATATTAAAAAAAAAATTGAAAAATATTTTTGAGATTTTTTAAAACATTATAAACTTGTTGGAAAAAAAAATATCCAACGAATTTCAAGTGTCAAACATAAAATTTGTCCAACGAGTTACAATAATTAATTTTAAAACGTTTTTTGGTATTTCTGGAAATATTTAAGGAACTCAATAAAAACTCGTTGGAAAAAAAACATTCATCAAATTTTATTGAATTTTGAAAATAATTGATCCAACGAGTTTCGATAAATTGAAAAAAAAAAATAAAAAATATTTTTGAGATTTTTTAAAACATTATAAAATCGTTGGAAAAAAATTATCAAACGAATTTCAAGAATTGTTTTAAACAAAAAAATTGTCCAATGAGTTACAATAAATAATTTTACAACGTTTTTTGGTATTCCTGGTATTTTTCAAGGAACTCAATAAAAACTCGTGTTAAAAAAAAACCGAAAAAAAATATATTCAACTATCAAAAAAAAAATTCACCTGTCAAACAAAATTTTATTGTCAAAAAAAAAAAATCATTTGTCAAAAAAAAAATCTAATTGTCAAAAAAATTTAATTAATTTAATTAACTTCAAATTATTTAAATCCATTGAAAAATTAATTAAATTATTATTTAACTGAAATTTAATTAAATTAAATAATTAAAATCAATTGAAACCAACTGCGGGAAATTTAATAAAATCAAACCAAAATTAAATTTTTAATAATTCAAATTTAAATTCAATTTTATCAAAATTTAATCAAATCAAATCGATCTGTAATTAAATTTAATCAAATTGAAATTTTCGATTAAATTAAATAAATAAAAAAATTAATCACATTAAATCAAAATTTGACTGATTCAACAAGAAATTTAATTGAATAAAAATTCAATTAAATTGAATTGAATTTTGATTAAGTTAACTGGAAATTTATTTTAATCAAAAAAGTTAAATAAATCGTATAAAAATTTAATTAAATCGAATGAAAATTTAATTAAATTAACTGAGAATTTAATCAAATCCACATTTAATTAAATCCACTGTAAATTTAATTATATCAACATGGAATTAGGTTGAATCAAAATTTATTTAAATGAGTTTTTAATTAAATCGACTGGCAATTTTTGTAAATTAAAAAAATTTGGATTCCCTCACTTTTTTCAAAAAACTTTGAATTTTTTCACTTTCATCAAAAAATTTGGAATTCCCTCGTTTTTATCAAAAGTTTCGAAATTTCTTCACTCTTTTCAAAAAATTGAATTCACTCAAAAAAATCAAATTTCCTTACTTTTTCAAAAAAAAATTAAAATTAAAATTCCTTCACTTTTTACCAAAAATTTGGAATTCCTCCACTTTTTACAAAAAATTTTAAATTCACTCACTTTTTTAAAAAAATTTGAATTTCCTCACTTTTTTCAAAGAAATTGAATTCTCAAAATTTTCTCAATTTATCAAAAAATTTGAAATTCTATTTTTCCAAAAAGTTTGAATTCCCTCACTTTTTCAAAAAAATTTGAAATTTGGAAAATTTGACAAAATCTTTTTCAAAAAATTTGGAATTTCCTCACTGTTTTCAAAAAATTTAAAGTTATCCCACTTTTATCAAAAAATTTAAAATTCACACAAAATTTGAATTCCTTAATTTTTTCTAAAAAATTTGAAATCTAGCTTTTTCAAAAAATTTGGAATTTGAAATTAAACGAAACCTTTTTTCAAAAAATTAAGAATTTTCTCACTTTTTTTGAAAAAAATTATTTAAATTCCCCTAATTTTTTTCCAAAAAAATTGGAAATTTCCTGACTTTTTTTGAAAAAATCTGGAATTCCCTAACTTTGATGAAAATTTTTGAAATTCCCTCACTTTTTTCAAAAAATTTGGAATTTTCCAACTTTTATCAAAAAAATTAAAATTCCCTCACTTTTTGCTTTGTTTGAAATTCACTCACTTTTTTCAGAACATTTGATTTCCTAAATTTTTTCCAAAAAAAATTCAATTCTCTGAATTTTTTCAAAAAATTTTGAATTTCCTCACTTTTATGAAAATCCCTCACTTTCTGGCCATTTTTTGGAATTTTTTGAAATTTGATGTTTTCTCTGTTTTTTGGAATTTTTTAGTATTTTTAGAATATCTTTCTATTTTTTAGAATCCTTAAATTTTTTGGAAACTTTTGGCATTTTTTGGAATTTTTGGAAATATGTTTTTTCTACAAATGTCACTAAAAGTGTCATTTTTAACAGATGCAGTCAGTGTCTAAAATGCCATTTTATGACACTGGTGTTAAAAGTGATTACTTTTAGCACTAGTGCTAAAAGTACTCACTTTTAGTGCGTTTGTAGAAAAAATAGTGTATGATATTCGTGATTTTATTTTGTTCAAAGGGATGGAACACTCCCGCCTTTGGCGTCGTGTCCCAAACTTCCCTCTTCACAAAATAAAATGTCACTTTTAGCACTTATATCATAAATAACTATTTTGGCATTTTTTGGTATTTTTTAACAATTTTTGGTCGTTTTGAAATTTTCTGATATTTTTCGGAATTTTTCGAAGTTTGGTGTTTACTGTTTTTTGAAATTTTTTGGCATTTCTTGGCTATTTTTTGAAATTTCTGGAGATTTGGTGTTTTTTGGATTTTTTTGGCATTTTTTGGAATTTTTTGGTAGAAATTTCCTGGAATTTTTTTGGTATTTTCATGATTTTTGTGATTTTTGTAAATTTTTATGATTTTCGTGATTTTTGTAATTTTCCTGATTTTCTTAATTTCAATAATTTCCATGATTTTTTCGAATTATTGTAATCTTTTGTAATTTTCATGAATTTTTATGACTTCTAAATTTTTATGATTTTTTTTAATCATAAATTTCTCTGATTTTTATGGTTTTTGTAAATTTTAATAATTTTCCTGATTTTTGTAATTTTCTTCGTTTTCTTAATTTTTTATGATTTTTGTTAATTTCTATGATTTTTGTTATTTATGAGATTTTTATTGTTTTTTGGAATTTTTTGAAATTTGGTGTTTTTTGAAAATTTTCGTCATTTTTTGCAATTTCTTTGAATTTCTTGAAATTTTTTGAAATTTTATTTTTGTCATTTTTTTTTTGAAATTTATACATATTAAGTATTTTTTTGAATTTTTTAATTTTGTTAAATTTTCCAATTTTTTGAACATTTTAAATTTTCTAGAAATTTTTGAATTTTTGAAATTTATTAATTCCTTTTTTGATTGAATTTGAATTTTTTGAATTTTTATTTTGATTTTTTTTTAAAATTTTGAATTTTTTTGAACTTGTCAAGTTCTTTTAAAGTTTTCGAATATTTTGAATTTTGTAATTTTTTTTAAAATTTACCATGTTTTACACTAAACAGTTAAAGTTCCATTGAATTTTTTTTGAATTTTTTGAACTCATTTTATAAATTTATTTAAATGTTTCAAGTTTTCAATTTTTTTCTATTTTATTAGTTTTTCAAATTATGTATTTTAATTTTTTTCAAAATTTTGAATTTTTTTGAACTTTTCAAGCTCTTTTGAACTTTTTGAATAATTCAATTTTTTATAAATTATTGAATTTCCCATGTTTTTCTTTTTTTTTTTAAATCCTTTCATTTTCCATTTGAATTTAATTTTTATTTTGATGAATTTTCTGTTTTTCAATTTTCCATGTTTTTGAAATTTTTCAAATCTTTTCTTTTTCCAGTTTGATTTTTTTGATTTTTTTCAAATTTTTGAATTTATTTGAACTTGTGAAATTCTTTTGAATTTTTTTAGTTTTTTGAATTTTTTGGAACTTGTCATTTTAAACTTTTCGAACATTTTGAATTTTGTAAAATTTTTTGAATTGAATTTACCATTTTTCGAATTAAATGTGTTTTGATTTTTTTTCACAATTTTAGATTTTTTTGAACATTTCAAGCACTTTTGAATTTTTTGAATAATTTCAATTTTTTATAAATTGAATTTACCATGTTTTTTGAATTTTTTTCAATCTTTCCATATTTTCTAGTTTAGGTTTATTTCAATTTTTCAATTCTTTTGGTTTTTTCAATTTTTTCAATGTTTTTAATTTTTTTGAATTTTTCGATTATTTTCAAATTTTTAAATTTTTTTGAATTTTTTAGAATTTTTATTTTTTGAAT